CCATTCAAGCAACTTTCCATGACTGGTCATATCTGCTCTGGGTTGGGGTAAAAATCATTGGTTCGTTCCCGCTCTCGTTCCATTTCGCTAGGGGGCCTGCCGTGCCCGTTCAGCTGCGCGGGGCGCGGGCGGATGCGCCTCCTGTTGGCGCCCGCGCGGGGAGCGCCGATGTGGGGCGCCCGCGACATGGGAATGAATTTAGAAAGAAACTTGATGCGACACCTGCCTGGGGAATCCCACTGCAGGCTTCGTTGACGCGGAAAACGATAGCTTACCTCGACGGGAAGCCCCACGCAAACCTGTGTAATCAGACGCGCCTGTGCAACCAGACGCGTCCCGACCCGGCCGCTCTGCTGACGAAGTGCTCGCATGTGCGCGTGTGTGCATGTCTCTGGCAGCCTTCTCCTCAACTTCGAAAGGGTCGGGGCCCGCGGGGTCGGGGGCATTCCGACGCAGCGCTGACGAGGCGGTTCCGAGCGGGCGTCGAGGGTGAGGAATCGGAGGGGCTCTACTCGGCGCGGCGCTTGCCGCGCTCTCAAGCCCTGGCGGCGGCAGGGCACGATGACAAGTGGCGCTCGCCTTCCCCGACCCCTGCCATCGCCGCCGCCGATCTTCCTGGCCGCGTTGCTGCGCGGCGCCTCGTTGACCGCGCGGCGGCCGCCCGCCGCGCGCATCTGCTCGGCGAGCAGGAGGTTGACGTCCATCATGTGCCCCGGCAGGCTGCGGGTCGCGGTCGGCGTCTCCGTCGGGCTCGTCAGCTCGCATGCGTCGTCCCCGCCCTCGAGCGCTGCCATCGGCTTCTCGTGGTCGGCCGCGTTGTTCGTCATGGGGATCTGGCCTTTCAGGCTGGAAGTGAGACGTGACTTCTGGGACTTGCCGGGCTGGTCGAAAGGGGGCTCGCTATCATCTCCGTGATCCATGCTCTTGCCGTGGCAGGCCCTCCCAACTCTATCGTCGCCATCAACCTCGCGTTGCGCATCCAGCAGGCAGCCCGACGCCGCGATGTATCCATGTGCACGCGATTGCTCACAGCGTCGAGAAACGCGAAAGCACTCTGGCACGCTGGCTCGTCGCGGTCGTCCTCTGGGTTGCTCTTTTTGCGGGCGAGGAGCCACTGGAATGCAGCGTTGCTCTCTACTATGCGCGGGCGGTTGCGATCTAGCGGCGCGCTGGTAAAGCCCATGTGCTCGACCGCCCTCGCCCTGGCCTCCATCTGGTGCGCCGGGCTCCACAGCGGGCCTGGCTCGCGCTCGTGCTCCACCTCGTCCTCCATCTCTGCCTGCCGGCGGCGCTGCTCGCGATTGCCGCCCCTGTCTTCCGCCCCGCTCTTGTCCTTCTTGCCGCCCGGGGGCCGCGACGCTGAAGGCTTCGCGCCCTGCGCCTGCGCCGTCTTCGAGCCGATCCCCCCATCATTCTGGCTGGCCATGAGCGGTTCCGACTGCTTCTCGGACTTGGAAGGAGGGGGGGGGGGATGCAGTCGAATGAGGGCCTCGGCGTGCTCGAGATAGCTGGTCACGGATGACAGCTCTGCAGAGCGTGCTGGGCATTCCAGGATCTTGGGTGGCATGGTGTTGGGCCCGCAACGTCTCCGATTCTTGGGGCAGTAGTTGCATCTCATACTTGCGGCTGCGTGATGAACAGCGCTGGCCCTATCCCTGACAGTTCGCCGCGGGATCCACCTTCGGAGTTGGCCATGCGCGCTGCCAGCTGCATTTTCTGGGCCAGCATGCACCGCATGCTGCGCTGTCGTCCCGAACATCCCGACGCGCGTACTGAGAATCCGAGGAGCTGTTTTCATCGCCAGTTGGCCCTGGGAGTTCTTGTCTTCTCAGATGTGTGGGCGACTGACCTGGTCTCGTTGACGTAGATCTTGGCGAAATCCGTGGGGTTCTCGAATCATACGCTACGGCTGTGTCTGGCAAGCGAGTAGTGCCTGCTCTTCATCAAGTCCTGTAGTGCTGGGATGTATTGTTGCGGCGATCGGGCCCACGGGTTGGCCTTTGTCGGTGCCTTTCCTTCGCTAAAGGCCGCGCCGTCACATGCCGTGCTACCAAACGCAGCTGCAAGCAACTGTGCGTGCACATCTTTATTGGCAGTAATTACTTGCCACCACGTCTGCGTATCCATAGTGCAAGGTATAGCCTTCCCATTCTGAACATCATCAACATCTGTGCGTTGGTTATATATCGTGCTGTGCGTGTCATGCTCATTCATGCGTGCTGCGCCCTGCAGTGTAGGTCTACATTGTCCCAATGTGTAAGATTGATGCGGCTGGAAGACCCGTTTTCGCAAAGGTCGCCGCCCGTGTGCGCGTGCCTCAATTCCCGACGGGGCGGCATCCAACAACGCGCCGTTCACTGCATTCTCCTTAACACCGAAGGTCGCGTCGCTAGACCAGAACCCCCCCGAATGCCGTGGGGGCGGCAATTGACGGCGGCAGGCCTCTTTTGGCACCCTGGCGCCGGCTAGAACGCGGGCGCCTGCGAGCCACCTGAATGCCGAACGTGATGCGCGATCTTGCCTCGAGAAAGCCTGTGGTGCCTCGTGGGGGCCCCGGCCCGCTAGGTAGCGCACTTTCTCCTCCTTCTCAAGTTTTTGGCTCGCTCCTATCTCCTCGAATCCTCGATCGGCGGCGGCGTTCTCGAGCGCTCCTTCTCGTTCGAAATGTTCGAACATGGCCCCCTTCCCCCGCCCCCAACACCATGCTACCCATGTCGTCCACGAACCCCGTAAGCCTGGTTGCAGAGGCGCGGCTCCTGTGTCTCCTGGAAATACGCCCCGTTGAGCCTTCGACCAGTAGGTCCATGTCTGATATGTGCGCGAAATTCTTTTAAACCCTATTTTGGGTGAGCTGGAAGTCCTGGGGTTGATGGAATTTCTCGGCCGCTTTGAGTACCTTGTTCTGATGCGAGCTGTAATGTGCTTTGGCAACATCGTGGCGCCTGAGTGCGTGGGAGACGCTTCCTGCCTGCAAACGAAGCGGTGCGACGACGCGAGCTGGACCCCCAGAATTGCTTCCCTCCCCCCCCCGTGCGTCCCTCCGTAAAGCCACTCGTGTGCGCTCCATGGGGGCTGCTTCCTCTTCAGCATCGCTGCGTTGTAGGTTCGGCAGAAGGTGCATATCATCCTTCTGAGCCTCTCACCGTCGCACTCCATTATTCTGATTGGGCTTGGGGATGCGAGCGGCGCGGGCGCAGTGCCAGTGAACAGGGTAGTTTCTGATGCGCCGACACGCCACCAATAATGCCCACAACATGCCTCGGCTGCGTGGTATATCCGGCAAGTCCAACATATACCCAACACCATCGGCAACCTTTGGCCTGCGCTCGTCCACTGTGTGCGGATCGAACGCCATACGCACACACTCGGGCTGTGTGCTCCAGTCTGGTCATGTTCTCCAGAACTTGAATTTCCAGATCGTGCTCGACATCTCTCTCTCTCTCTCTCTCTCTCTCTCTCCAATCCACCGCGGCAAAGTAGGCGGCATCGCGGTCCTCCATCTTCTCTCGCCCCTCTTCCACCATGTTCCCCCTCGTCCCTACGGTGTAGGGATGGCAATGCACCTTCCCTGCCGGGAGGCAGCTCTGGTCCGTGTGCTGATGCCTTAGCTGATGCCGTAGACCCTGATCACCGCGAGTCGTGTCCGTCGGGCCCCGTAACCTTCTTTGCGATGAGTCTGGCCAACTTTTGCACCAGGTATCCGTTCTGCTCCTCGAGGGCAGTCTTCATCTCCGCACATCGTCGAACCCGAACATTCCGCCAATACTCCTTGGCCGTGCGCCTGAAGTGTCTACTGATATGCTGGATCCGCCTGCTCGTCGGTGTTGTGATCATCGTGCACCTCCGTGTGCTTCCTCCATGCGACCTTTTGTATACAATGGACTGTCTCGGAAGACCTCAGCTACGGCCGTGTTCAATGTGCTGACGAACAATGTTCGTGGTGTCTACGTCCTCCCTGGACTTGGCCTTCTCCTGCTCGTGCTCGTAAACTTCCGCCTGAAAAAGGGCCTCCCGCCGCTCGTATCCCACCTGGAGGCATTGGTACAAGGCTTCTCCGTTGGGTCGCGGCATCCGGTGTTGGTCAAGAGCGGCGGGTATCTGAACGACAAAACATGCGTACAGTGGTCGGTGATCTCTGTCCTCGCGCCCCCGGTACAGCTGAAGTCGCCTGGTCGACTTCCTCATAACGATCACCCCCTTTAGTGGCCTGGATGAGCTCACGCGGCGCAGAAATGGAGTCGAGGTGTGACTGCCCGTTGCTGCCTACGAACGTCGGTGGTAGGTCCCACTACGTGCTTATGCTACACATGTTCCACCCTTCGAGAAGTGGACGGAGTGCAACGCAGCTTGGGGTCGTGTTTCCTTGACCCTGGGGTCCCGCCGCGAGGTCGTCACGTGACTATGGCAAAGCTCCGTTGAGGTCAAACATGATAAAAAGGGGATCGCGTTGCGCTGGAACAAAAAAATCATCACCCCCAGGAGCCAGCCATTTCGGGCCTGGATCGTTGTTTGATGTCGGTTTGGCCTGACTGTTTGGGAGGGTCATACATGACCTCGAACCCGTACGTAAGTCAAGCACGTTCACATCTCACTCCATGTACACGCCCGCATATGTGTTTGGGTGTAAGGACTACGTGTTTGATACAGTCTACAAGAAAACGTTCACGTCGTAACATAATCGCCACCCCGCAGCTTGTAGAGGAGGAGGAAGCAGAGGGGAAAGTTTTAGGACCATTCCTATTCACCGTCGAGTGGAACGGGGGGCTAAAACAAAATACCCTTGGTGGTTACAACCATCCTCGATGCCTCCACCATCCTCGGGCCCCCGAGCCGCGATCAGGAGAGCCCAGATTCGAATCGATAGTTTGGATCGGCGATCGAAGCGAATCGGATCGGCGGCAATCGGCAGGCTAATAAGCAAGTCTCTCTTCAGACATTGGACTCCAAATCGGAATCCGAAGTCGGATCGAATCAGAATCGCAGGCCGTCGACGTCGAAACGACCCCCGGCGAGGAGGGGGCGCTTTAGGAGCTGGTCGCAGTCTTGCCGGAGCTCCGGCGTCATGAGGTCGTGCCGCCTGTGGCGGGGAGAAGCTTCGGGTGGAAGCGGCCCCCGTCAGAGAGTGAGGGAGCTGGTGGGGCAGGGCATGCGTCAAACACCTTCTCCTGCTCGTTCTCCGTTCTCCTCCCCCCCTCCCGTTCCATCCCTCCCCCTCCGCACTGCTCCTCCTGGCGCAACTTCCGTGGCCGCCGCTACTCCGCACTGCCCGTGCGCCCAGGGGCAGCTTCCGGCTCACTGCCGGGGCCTGCCCTTGTTTCGGGGGGTCGCCAGGGTAAGAGCCTGCCGTGTCCATCTCGGCTCGTGGGGACGAGAGCAAAGGGGCCCTGGGACACACAAATAAATACACACAAATAACAGGATTCCCTATATTTTCTGGGTTTTCGACTTCCCCCCCCACTTCCCATATTTTCCCATATTTTCCTGGGGATCGACGATTAATTGTGTCTGTGTGTTTCTTTCCCTCCTGAGAGAGCCCGCATCATCGAGAGAGGCACGCGGACTGCAGTGCCGAGTGTGCTGCCAGTGCAGTGCCCCTTTTCAAAAAGGTGCGGCGATAGGGGGAGATCAACTCTGGAGGGGGAAGCGCCGAACTGGCATCGGCGATGCGTTGCCGATGCATCGGCAGTAGCTCTCCAGAGCGACCCCGCACGTTCTTTGGAGGGGTGGGCCAGCGGGCCTCTACTTCTGGGCGATGAATGGGCGATTGGGGGTTGATGCGTCCCCCCTGAGCCTATCCCCACTGGCATTTGTCCACTGATCCTATCCCCCCTGGGACTACGAACCAGTCCCGCTGTCACTCGACTGACCCTGACCACGATGTGTTTTGGAGTTCCCTGGAGATCTCTGGATTTACCTCGATTGACTTGGCTTTGAGGAATAAGAAGAATCCGAATTCACCTCGGCTTGCCGTGCTTGATCCGCACACGTCGATCGGATATTACACCAACGAACCACCCGACTAACAACAAAAATGAAGACACGGGACATGGGTGATCGCAGCTGGGACAAGGGTAACACCATGGCCACGTGCACTTCAGTGCATTGTTACCCGAGATGTAACTAACCAACATTGAGGCGAGAGTGCGGCCACGTGCACCCTAACATTTTGTTTCACACTCGTGGCCGTTCGGACAACACATGTAATCGGAATTGGGACGAGGACGCGACCGTGTGCAATTGTTGTTTCTTATTAGAAAACAACAAACAAAACAACGGAAACGGAACGCGGTCGTAAGCACCAATAGTGTAGCCGGCATTGAGGCGACCGCGGATTTCCAGAATCAATTGTGAGGACATCTCAGGCGAAACGGCTGCTGGACTGGCTGCCGGACCGGGCGTTCTCAAGCCCCCCGTCGCCCTATGCGGGACTATTCTACATTTCTGACCGCTACATCTAACGAACACCTCGGGGAAACGCTATCTCTAGAGAAGAAGGCGGGGGCGGGGGTATGGGCGGCGGAAAGGGGACAAATTACATCCAATTGATCCAATTCCACCCACCTTTATACAACTTACAACCCCGTTGGTACACATTCCAGCCGTCCGAGGAGAAACTCCAACCATTCTGTATGAAAAGCCCCACAGGCGTTCGACAGGCGTCTTGCTGGCCTCTTAGAAGCGTCGTACGGGCGTCTTAGAAACGTCGTGCGGGTGTTTTCAAAACGTCGCGCGGGCGTCTTCAAGGCGTCGCGCGGGCGTCTCAAAGGCGTCGTGCGGGCGTCTTGAAGCTGTCTTGCGGGCGTCTTCAAGGCGTGGTGTGGGCGTGTTGAAGGCGTCGCGTGGGCGTCTTAAAAGGCGTCGTGCGGGCGTCTTGAAAGCGTTGCGCGGGCATCTCCGAGGCGTCGTGCGGGCCTCTTCAGGAAGCTCCCAGAACCTCGGAGAAGCCTCCAGAGGCTTCTGAACAGCTCCCAGAGGCTTCTGACAAGCTCCCCGAGGCTCCTGAGAAACTCCCAGAGGCTTCTGAGAAACGTCCAAAGGCTGTCGAGGAAGCTCCCGGAGGTATTTTTCCTGTCGTTTCTGAGAAGCCCCCAGAGGCTTCGCAGTAGCCTCCAGGGGCTTCTGAGTAGCTTCCAGGGGCTTATGAGAAGCCCCCGCAGGCCTCTGAGAAGCTCCCAGAGGATCTGGATGGATTCTGAAGGATTCTGAAGGATGAGAAGGAGAAGGAGGAGGCTGGGCGGGCTGAGGGGAGGCGGATGATGATGGGTGAGGACGCAAAGGGGGTGGAGGGAGGATGAGGACGAGGGAGGGAGGAGACGAGGAGTAGGAAGTAGAGGGACAGGGAGGGGAGGAAGTGTGAAGAGGATGGGAGGAGGAGGAAGAGGGAGGGAAGAGGGGAGGATGGAACTTGAAGAGCGACGGGTGTGCCTCTGGCCGCCTACGGAACCTCGGGAAGAGAGGGCGGCGCGTGCAGCGTAGTGCTCGTCGAAAGGGTGGGCTCCGCCTCCTCCCCTTCCCCCTCTGCCTGCGACGCATGAGTTGAATAATGAAGATGATGAAGATGATGGTGATGATAATGATGATTGTGGTTGTGATGGAGCTGGTGGCGATGTTCTAAAATATCATGCTGATGACGGTGGTGGTGGTGGTGATGGCGGCGATGATGCTGATGATGCTGCTGATGATGATGATCCTGATGGTAATGAATCACATCCCTGGGCAAACCTTGTACACTTTCCAACCTGGTTAAACCTAGTAGCTTCTGGAATGAATTGCGTAGACGTAAGCAGACTTGGTTTGGGGATATCCCAACACCGTCTCACCACAGGAATCATACAGTGACGTTATTCGGGCGGTTGGAATTCGAACTGGTTTGTCTGTTCGATCTGGTTGGGGAATATACCAATCGGTTGGGATTAGTCCCAGTCGGCTGGAATTAGTATCGCATGCGGGTATGGGCCTCGGGCAACGGTAACGCTGGGCGGTGTGGGGTTCGTCGGGGCGTGGGCGCGCTGCGGATCGCCATAACATGCGCCCGAGCAGCACGCTGTGCCTGAGGGCACAGCAGTGGCCCGTGATCCGCTCACGCGCGCAGAACCTGAGAGCACTGGCGAGGCGATGCATGGAAGATTGGGGGTCGATGCGCCCCCCCCCTATGCCTACTCTGGAGGAAGAAAGAACGGCATATCCCTAAACTTTCGACGGGCCGTGCGGATTTCTTCTTGGATCTGCGGTGGGTCCCCCCCCCCCACCGGCGCGCGGAGCGCGCCAAGGGCGGCGCCGGAGGCGCCGCTGGGGGGCCCAGCGCAGATCTAAGAAATCCGCACGGGCCGTCAGAAGTTGCTGTTTTGGCCTTTTCTTTGCTCTTCTCCGATCTCCCCCCCCCCTCGATCGCTGCCCCTGCCTCGCCCCCCCCTGCCTGCCCCCCCCTCCTTGCTCTTCTGCGATCTTCCCCCCCCCCCCCCTGGCCATCGCTCGGACGTGCATCCCCCGTGCATTTGTCGGTTTCGTGCGTGGCTTTTCCGCCAAATGATCAAGGATGCTCCTCGATGGCCCTCGCCGAAAGACAAGAACGCACACGTCCGAGCGATGCCAAGCCCCTCGATCGGTTGCCCCTGCCTCGCCCTGGCCCCGGCGCGCCCCGCCGCGGACCGCGGGCCTCTGCATGTGCGCCCAGATGAGGCAGCTGTTCCTGGGGCGCCCGGCGCGGCGCGCCGCGTGCCGGCCCCCCCCCATGGCGCGCCGACGCGCGAGGCGGCAGGGGCCCCAGGACACGCAAATCAAGACACACAAGTAAAAATCTTCCCCGTATTTTCCTAGATTTTCTCGGTTTTTGTCTTCCCCCTCACTTCCCATATTTTCCCATACTTTCCTGGGAAACGACGCCGCCGCTGGCGCCGGCGCCCGCCCGCCCCGCCCGCCCCGCCGCCGGCGCTGCCACCGGCGCTGCCGCCTGCCGCCGCCGCTGCCGCGGCCGCCGCGCAGCGCTCGGAGTGCGGGCAAGATCTGTGTCCGTGTGCATCGAGTCGGGAGGCGACTGCAGAACTGGTGTGCCCCAGATTAGATTGGATCTTCCCGTCGGATCTACGGAGAAGAAGACTTCGCGTGTTGGTCGGTCCACGGAACAATGATCGCATTTGTTGTAGATTCGATTGGATCATTGCTTTTCGGGTAAATCCGTTCTGTAGTCGATCCCCTGTTCGAACCCGCTGCGTCGAGGACTTTCTGGGGAGGGCCGCCAAAGGCTGAGGCGCAGTGGATGTGGATAAGAATCTGGCCCCTGTAGGGGCCAGACTTTGTCCATGGTCTCTGCGCCTCTGCTTTCTGGGGCAGACCCTTCGTCAGTTCTCATCGTCTCCGACCTCTGTCCTCATCCTTTCCTTCCTCTCAATCCTCTTCCTCCTCTTCCTCCTACTCCCATCCTCGTCCTTCACCTTTCCGTCGTCGTCATCGTCCTCCCCCTCCTCTGCCTCCTATCCTCATCCTCCTCTCCTCTTCTACGTCTCCGTCATCCGTATCCTCCACCTCGTCGTCGTCCTTCGCCCTTCTCCTCGTCCCTGGCACTTGGCGTCGCGCGCTGGGGCGCGGGGCGAACTTGATGATGATCGGCACCTGCCGGGCCGCCACCCCTCCTCCCCCCCACTCGACCGCCTCGCTGGGCCGTCGGCTGGAGCTCACGGAGCTGGCCAACGGGCCGGGAGCCCAGGGGTCCGATGTCGTGCCTATTTGCTTTCGCCAGGGATGCCCAAAGACCGTCTGGACCCGTCCTGGAGCCGCCTGCACGGAGACGGAGGGGGAGCACACATCTGCAAACTGCTGACGATTCTCGCCTCTCCGAGGGGGGACTCTGGGAAAAAACTACCAGGAGAAGTTCTTGGACACTCACCCGCCTTCCCCCTCCTCCTATGCTCTCTGGGACCAGCGTGAAGTCGCTCTCACTGGTTCCTGGTTGGGGCTGCCCTCTCAATGTGGCCTGTGTGCGCGTGTGGTACGTCCGAACAGGTATGGGTCAGTGTGAGGGTGCCCTCTCTGGAGGCCTGCTACCTCTGGGGAACGAACCGTTTTGTTGTTGGTGTTATCGTTGCTGCGTTTCGTTGTTCCCTTTCCCAAGAAAGGGTGCGAAGCGTGCCAGAGATGTGCCGACACAGTCTGGCACCAATGCGAGGCCGTCCACACCAGGGCCCCGAGTCGGGCAATTAGCCCCTTGGGCATGAAGCGCGCGAGGGGGATGACGGCGCCATGCGCCTGCGTGGGGGCGACGCGGAGGCGAGAGGAGGACGATGAGGATCTGACGAGGAGGCGATGATGGAAGGCCGAGGAGGGGGGGAGGCCCAGTGCGGTGCGCGGTGTGCGGCAAAACACGCGTGCCCTGGCCTCGAGACTGGGCCGGGAAAGCCGTGGTGCTAAAACAGGGCTAGGATCGGGATACATCGCTCCAGAGCGTTCCGGAGCGCTCTCAGAGCGTTCCGGAACGCTCTGGAGCGGCCGCGGCGCCCAACACATCCTCCGAACCCGCCGATTCTCAGAGATTTCGAGTTATCCTGATCCGATTTTGTCCCGATCTTCGCGTCGTTTTGGTGAGGTGCGCGGTGTGCGGCAAAACACGCGTGCCCTGGCCTCGAGACTGGGCCGGGAAAGCCGTGGTGCGGGCCCAGACCCTGACCTTCCAGAGAGCTATGTTTTAGCACTGGTGGCCCAAAAACCTAAAAAACGGAGCGAAACAGCCTAAACCAAGACGTTGCATAGCTTTGGGATAGGCTTTTAAGTCGCGTGCTATTTTTGAGCCCTCTTGGAGGGTCAGGGGACAGCCCGCAGCGGGGCGCCCGGCCCGCCCCCGCGGCCGGGCCCGCACGGCGCGCCCCACACGCATCGGGAGCGGGGCGCCGCCGTGCGCTCCGCCAGGCCTGGCCACGGCAGCGGGCCTCCCGCGCCGCTCTCCCGCCGAGCGGGCGCACTCGCCTGCACGCGGAGCGCCCCGATTGAAGGGGCCCTGGGACACACAAATAAATACACACTAATAACAGGATCCCCCATATTTTCCGATATTTTCTGGGTTTTTGCCTTCCCCCCCACTTCCCATATTTTCCCATATCTTCCCATATTTTCCTGGGAGTGGACGGTTAATTGTGTCTGTGTGTTTTTTCCCCTCCTTCATCGATGCCCCACGCTTCTCACTCCCGCAGGGCGATGGCGGCGGCCCGAGCAGGCGCTGGCGTGCGACGACGAGGCGGGGCCGGTGAGCCCCCAGGGAAAATCCATGCGGGTGCTTTCGAGGCCACGCCCAGTCCACAATGGCCTCCACGATCGCTTCTCCCGTGCAGATCGCGTCCGCGGCAATCTCCTCTTCCAGATGCTCCTCCTGCTGCCGTTTCTCCTCGTCAGCCCTGCAAGCCACGACCGTTTGCAGAATCGTGCTCCCTCACAGTGCTCCGATCGCATGCCCGCTCCTCTTCCTCTCTCATCCTCCTCCTCCTCGCCCTTCTGCTTCTCCTCCTGTTGTTCTTTCCCAGGCCACGTTGTACTTCCGCTTCGCGTGCTCCACGACCTCCTGTCGGCAATCAGACCAATCAATCAATCAATCAATCAATCAATCAATCAATCAGACAAACATCAACAACCACGCCAAGACAGCCAAGGAGGCAAGGCCCATGGGCCGACCGGTCGAGAGAGGAGCGGAGGAGAAGGGATGCGTTAGCAGGACGAGGTGGACGAGGGGGGAGAAATAAAGGAGGAGAAGGAGGAGGAGGGGGGAAGCGACAGATGAACAATCTATTCTACTACGACGAGGATGACAAGGATTACAAGATGAGGCGGGACGCAGGAATAGGCGGAGGACAAGGGGGGGAGACAGCGAGGATGACGAGAAGGAGGAGGAGGAGGAGGAGGAGGTGCAAACTCAGCGACAGCGTAGAATCACCTCGGCCTTGGTTTGCCGATCTCAACCCAACTCAAGCTGGCTCGACTTTGCGAACAACCATCGGCTTATATGTAGACTGAACTGAGCATTCAGCTGTTGCCGTGACTGCAGATATTGTTTGCCTGCGTAGCTTCGCATAGCGTGCCCCCCTGCTTTCTGAATTCAGACTCGGTTTCCAGCGAACGCTACAGTATCCAGTGTGCATGCAGGACGGGATCGAAACCAATGGATCTAGTTCGGACATGTAGCGTCGAACCAATGCTGCACCTCAAAACTCACTGATACCACGCCCCCACAAAGGAACAAGGATGGTCCACTGAGGGCCTCCCGTGGGACCCAAAACGGCCTTAAAGGCCATTCGGCTGCTCAAGACGACGCCGAGACGGCTTCCAAAAACCGACCATACGGTCAAGAGGGCCCAAAGAGAGCCCAATAGAGTCCCAAGACCGCCTCGGAGGGCCCGAGGGACCCAAGAGGAACCCGAGGGCCCCCAAGACTGCGGGGCCCACCTGAGTCTCATGAGAGCTCCTCAAATAATGAAGAAGGAAGGTGCCACATGTGACGGCCCTCCTCCTCCTCCCTCTACTCCTCCTGCTCATCCTCTTCATCGTCGTCATCATCATCATCATCATCATCACCATCACCATCATCACCGTCATCATCATCGTCACCATCTCATCATCACCAGCATCAACACAACATTCATCGCCACCACCATCATCATCATCACCACCACCATCACCATAACCATCATCATCGACGTCATTACCACTACCATCATCGGCATCATCATCACCACAATCACCAACAACCACCACCACCACCATCATCATCATTATCATCATCACCATTATCAGTCTCATCATACCATCACCACACTCATCATCGTCATCATCATCATCATCATCATCATCATCATCATCATCATCATCATCATCATCATCATCATCATCATCATCATCATCATCATCAATCATCATCAATCATCAGCAATCATCATCAATCATCATCATCAATCATCATCATCATAATCATCGGCACCACTACCATCATCATCAACATCATCACCACCACCACCATCATCTCAATCACCATCATCGTCGTCGTCACCGTCATCGTCATCGTCACCATCGTCATCACCATCATCATCATCATCATCACAATCATCCTCCTCCTCCTCCTCATCATCATCATCATCCTCGTCCTCATCCACATCATCATACCAATCCTAATCCTAATCCTCATCCTAATCATCCTGGTCACCATCCTGATGCTCATCCTCATCCTCACCCTTCTCATCCTCATCCTCATCCTCATCTTCCTCCTCCTCCTCCTCATTCATCACAGTCACCATCACCATCACCATCACCATCACCATCACCACCACCACCACCATCACCACCATCACCACCATCACCATCACCATCACCATCACCATCACCATCACCATCACCATCACCATCACCATCATCATCATCATCATCATCATCATCATCATCATCACGGCTCTCTCGAATCCGAGAACACGAGATCTCACGAGTGACGGCCTTCCGTGCCCCTCGAGCAATGGCAGCCCAAAATACTGAGCCGGAACGGAGGCGGGACTTGCCGCGATCAACTGGATGGTATCCATAATCCGACGAGTGAAATCACATACCTCCGCAATCGCGCTTTTGTTTAAGCATGCGGCCCGCAGACTTCTCGACCCATTCCAAGGGACCGCCTTTTACATTTCTCGTTCCAGACAACTTTTGATGGTGGCCCCCGCGCCCGAAGGCGGAAGATGCGGACCAGCACCCGTGGTGATCCTTCAAGGCCTACACCCTGCGAAATGCTTAAGAAATCATGGGTTAAGAAATTCATAGTCTCAGAATTTGAATAAAAGCCCAGAGCTTCTGTTACCATAGGATTTGCATTGAAATATGAAGAATCATCGAGACTCTGGCCGAAAACTGAAGTTTTCTTAAGCATCGCCTAGGGTGTATGTAAGTCAGAGCTTCACGTTCCAAGGCCCAGGACCAGCGACCCCCCCCTTGAATGGACAGCGATGGGGAACGGCTGAGTGTGCGACTGGCTCGGGGGGGGGGTAACACCGAGCTGGCATCGGCGACACTTCGCCGATGCATCGGCGATCGGCTCCAGACAGCGCCTCCGTAAAATACTGGGCGAGATGGACTATCGGGCCCAGATCGGCGCCGAATGGCCGGTTCGCTGCGTCCTCCTTTGGGTGGCGACATCCGAACCCTAACCCCCACCGACCGTCAGTTCTCCTGAATCGGTGGGAGACGGGGGTAGGGTTCGGACTTCGCCACGTGTGCCGACGAGTTCCGAACCCCACCCTCGGGTCGGGCGACAAGGGGGGGGGATACAGCAAAGGGGGGGGTTGAGAATCAGCTCGCGCAGCTGATTTTCCCAGCGCCTCCCGGCGCCGGAGGCGGCTGTGTATCCAGGAATGGGCCCCTCGGTGCGGCCGAAACCAGCTGCATGCAGCAAATCGCGTACTCCAGATTTCGTAATAAAAGGGAGGGGGTCTGGACCCTCCAAGACAAGCCATTTCAGACCCCCCCCCGTGGGAGAACCCTCCCAAACGTCGTCCCCAGACCCCCCCCAGGCCCTCCAAGAGAGCCTGAAAGAGACCCCCCCCGAGATGAGGAGGCCGGGGTGTTCTGGGAGTCCCCTCGGCCGCACAGGCCGTATCAAGATGGTATTTGAGATGGTAGAAATATCGGCCGACCTGGCGGCGCTGTTGGTGTTGCATATACAGATATAGATATACAGATACGCGTACACACATACGCATACTATATATATGCAATTACAACTATATCTCCATGCACATATACATGCGCACCTGCATGAAGACGCACGCGTGTACATAGTAGCACGTCCATCAATGGTGCAAAAGTAAAGCAATCATCTATACAAACGCACATACAATCACACGTAAACGTAGACAGGTGTGAAGCGCAGCTTAGAACCATCACTTGCGTTGATTTTTCGGCGGATTATGACGGAGTGCATCCGCGCGCGCCAGAATCGCGACAGGCCTTTACAGATGGCGGCGCGCATGCCCGCCCTCCCGATGCCCAGGAACACCGTCGCTTTAAGCGCACGGATAATGCCCACTGGGTTTCTTGTGAATCTTACTGGCGGCTGCCGCCGGGTGCCCCAGGTGGTCAGCGTCGCCAGCAGACAACATTGAGTTGTGCTTGGCAACGAAGTACAGGACCAAGAAGCGGTGGCGGCTGGGCGACATCTCGTTGAAGATCCGCGAGTAGCCGCGAAACCATGAGAAGCACTGCTCTGCCACCTGAGTGTTAAGTCCGCTGATACGCAGCTTCAAGCGATGGATGTGCAGCGGGTTGCACGCGCAGGTGAGCGCATGCTTCTGGGCGTGCAGCCTGTCGACGACCCAGCATTTAATCTGATTGAACTGATCGTCCAGGAGCGCCGAAGGCATCACCGAGCATGCCCTGTCGTATATGATGCAGTTGACCTTCGGATACTGCGGGAGAACGCGGAGGATTGTGGACTTGACCACATCGTTGCCCTCTGGCGCAGTCTGCTCGGTCACGGCCACCACGCGGCCGCTCGTGGTCAGAAGCATAAACCACCCGTTGTTGTGGTGTAGAGACCTCGGGGCTTTGCGCTTCGTGCCAGCCTTGGTCACCGCGGGCTTCTTAATCACGGCGGCTCTCTTCGCGACAGGCTTGGGCTTGGAACGGGCCTTCGCGGTAGCGGGCTTTTTCATCAGGGCCTCCCCAGCGAACTTGCGAGCAGCCGAAGGCCTCTTCAGCCCTTTCCCTCCTGGAAGGCCGCAGCCGCCGTTGCAGCGCACCAGCACCTTCTCGTGTCCGTCGCCCACTAGCTCAGTAACGCAAGCGGAATTGGCGGGCGGATAGACGCGCTGGTGGAGGTGATCGTCGTATGTTCTCAGAGCGCTCTCGCTGATGTCCTCCTCCACGTAGATGTCAAGATGCTTGTCGAGCGGTTCCAACTCCTGCACGGCCAGCGCATACATGATAGCATGGCCGTGAAGTTTACGCATGTCGAAAGGGAACTCTTTCCCCTGACAACCGCTGCCGTCGCCGTCGTCAAAGACATCCTTCTGGGCCCAGTCTGCGCCCCTGGCCGAGACGAAGTTCCTGAACAACATTGCCTCGTAGTACCGCACGTATCTCATGGTGAAGCCGCGCTTGCTCGAGATGAAGAGGACTCCGGCGCGCTCCAGGTCGGCGAGAGTAGCAGTGTTCTTCCTGCGCCCCCCGACCCACACGAAGTTGGGGCCGTATGTCAATCGACACTTCTTGCTATTGCACTGCCAGGGCGTGACCGTCACTGTCGTCGCGGTGTGGAGGTCATGGACGATGGCCTCGTGAGTCGTATCGCCCTTCTTGCTGAGCCTGCATCCACATACGCAGAATTCCAAGTGCGTCTCGAACTCGTCGGCGATGTCCTGCCGCAGACCCTTGCCCTTGGTGTAGGGCGCGCCGCCGCTGCAGACGCTGCAGCTCGAACCGCCGAGAGCGTCGCCCAGCCAACAACGGTGTTCTCGCATGATCAGAATGCGGAGGTACCGAGCCTCGCCGCCAAAATCTTCCTCCAGGGACTGCGCCATGGATGCGAGCATG